AAACGCCTAGAATTTTTCAAAAAAGATGGGCTGGGGGGCCGAGCGCTGCGGCCACATGTTAGGTTAAGTTAAGACACTTCCTGTCAGACCCATGTACAAAATTGATAGGAGGGGGGGACGGCCCGGAGGGGGGTCCAAAAATCGTTCACTAGAAAATTACCTAAAAATCGTACAAGAGGAAATTACCTTGACAATCCAGTTATATTTCGAGATAATGAAATAGGTTAATGACAATTTTCTGAGCCAAGCGCTGCGACTAGGACAGGCTCATAAGATTTCTCTTTAGTTACCTTAATTTAACGTGCTAAGGCTATAAAGGCTTTAAGAAAAGACTAAATTTCTACTTAACCGCGAGCAATGTGACCCATATTTTAACACTTTACGACTTAAACACAAGAAAACACGACCGGAAAATTCTGACCCGAGACAGTCGATCGGAAACGATTGGAAACGATCGGAAAAAGGAATAATAGAATTATCCATCAATTGAAACCCAAATCTATTCAGTCTACAATATGTTCTCAATGGTTAATGCAATTATTCTAATTTATTTAATAATCAGCATAATAACCAGATTAGCTTAACTTAATACGTTATTTAACTCTCAGAACAGTTGTTAAACTAGTTTAATTCGATTTGTTCCTGCGTGTCTGCTTATTCTGTTTATCTGTGACTGTGAGGTAGAACTAGAAAAGTAGAAACTGCGCTGGATGCCCCGTAACATTATTCTCAAAGTGCACAGGATCAGCTGTTTTTCATGTTTTTTAAATTCTGATTTCCTCCGGAATGTTACAATTTTCTTTAAGTAATAGCAAGATTGAAGAAAAGAAGTTAAGATATGAGGTTGCACACCAGTTTTCGATATTGTGCTTGAACTTTAAATTTATTTTATCATCCTGTAAGAGCTCGTTCTATAGGCACGTGCGGCGGTGATTTGACGATCATAACAAGTTCAATTTCTTTTTCGGGGGGTGAGGGGGGGTATTTTTGTTACAATTAGAACTCGCCTATTTAATCCCGAAATATTTTAGATTTCTTTATGTGACGCCATGGTAAAATTATACATGTTTGCAGCTAGGAACTTAATTATAATAATGTTAAGCTCTAAGTTATCACATGTTCTTGAAAATCGATAATTTATCTTATTTTTTGTAATAAAATCTGTCCTAGAGAACGTTTTTTGGCCCCCTCCTATCAATTATGAACATGACCGACTATTTAAACATTATTGATCAAAGTTATAATTAATTATTTTGTATTGATTTAGGGTTTGGTTAGGTCAAGACAATTTCTTGTCGAAGCGCTGCGGCTAGGACAAACCAGGGGGCCGAGCGCCGTGTGTAGGACAGGCTAGGAGGCCGTGCACTGCAGCCACAAGTCTAACTTTGACCATGTACAAAATTGATATGGCCNTTTTGTTTAATGAGACTTATCCACTATCCAGCCCTTGCTGGCTCTGTTACATTTGCCATAATACATTTGCTATAAATACATTTGCCTTAATTACACTTGCAATAATTGCACTTGCCATAATCACACTTCCCATAAACACTTTTGCCTTAAGTAACACTTGCCATAAGTTACACTTACCTTTGCCCTAATTTTCTAACTTTTACAAACATAAAAATATAATTATTTTTTCTATAAATGCACTAAATTTTCTCATAAAGATTCCCAATTTTAATTTTCTAACAAATAACAATGCTTCCGGGAGAGATATGAACACTACATACATTACTGGTAGAAAGAGCTTGGTGAAGAATCAATGACAATACAATACTTTTTCAAGTAGCTTCTCATGAGATGTCCCTCACTTAGATTTGTTAATTGTAGTCACAAAACTAAAAGTTATAATTGCAGTTGTTCAAAAAAAATTATGGATGTTGATTATTACTATAATTAATTTTAATTATGGCAAGTGTAACTTATGGCAAGTGTTTCTTATGCCAAACGTATTATGGCAAGTGTTATAATGGCAAATGTATTTATAGCAAAAGTATATATGGCAAATGTAACTTAGCCCCATTTTTCACTTAGCAATCAATGGTTAAACCGGGTTACAATCTCTTCAGCTATCCACGTCAGCACGGACACTAGTTTAGCTATCATGTCAACTACGGCACGAGCTCTATATCAATCAATTCCAAACCAATGGGCACGGTCAGCTATCAATGTCAACACAGACACAAGCACTTACTCGATCAATGCCAAACGAATAAGCACAATAAGCTATCAATGACTACACAGACACAAGCACTTAATCGATCAATGCCAGATCAATGAGCACTATCAGCTATCAATGTCTACATGGACACAAACACTTAATCGATCAATGCCAGATCAATGAGCACGATCAGCTATCAATGTCTACACGGACACAAACACTTAATCGATCAATGCCAGATCAATGAGCACTATCAGCTATCAATGTCTACATGGACACAAACACTTAATCGATCAATGCCAGATCAATGAGCACGATCAGCTATCAATGTCTACA